CCGCCCTTCGTTTCCCTACCCGCCGTTCCTCCGCGCTTCTCTTCTCTACGCCTCTCTTCCATCCCTCTTTTCCCCACCACCGCAGCCAGTCTCGCTACAGATCCTGGTCTCACAGTGCCGTACACACTCCCGTCGTGTCTGTCCTACGCTTCCTCTCCTTCTTCCACCCCCTCCCGACGGTCGCTCGTCGTCTCTCTCTAGTCCGGCTCACGCGTCTTCGCTCGGTGGTGCAAGCGCACGTTGAACGCGCATGTTACGACCGAAGCGCACCGCGCGTGGTTCCCACACTTCCTGCTGATTTCTGCCAGGTACCAGGGTGTGTGTCGATATTACTGCTCGGCCGGTATACGGATGAAAATTCTGAGTTTCGAGTTTCATCGGATGTCGGTTTTTCTTTTTACAGTAAACTTGTTTGGTAGGAGCTTATGTTTAGGTATCGTACATTCTGCGATGTTTATTCTGTGAGACTATGCTACCAGATTTGAAATTTCAAGTGGAAACTGAATGTTATTGGAATCGAAATTGGTCTCTTGTAGCGCGAAAACCACTTTCCTGTCGTTAAACTCCTGATAGATATGTATTGGTAGAGTTTATACTTTGATCAAACTCGAAAAGTAATAAATATTCGAGATATGCAATTTATCTCCATGAAAATTCTATTTCCCACTTTTTCTAAAGTTTTTAATCTTAAATTTCATCTGAAATTTAAGTAACTACTACCCTTGTATGGGCAGCTAAAATATTCATGATTACTAAAGTTTAAATATCTGAGGTTTTCCATTAATATTTTTTCGCGACGCAAAGTACAGAAATTTCCACAACACAATTTTAAAAACAGAAAAATATTCTTAATGTTTTGTGGGCCCGAGGTATTTTTTACGTTTTTTACAACCAATGCCAAATGTTTTCTTATTACATTAATTTTTAAAAGTTGCAGCGAATGGCCCCATTTTTTACCTGTTCTTTTGGTAAACCAATGGTCCCGCATCAGACACGCAACACACAAGGTCGGAGCAATTCTCGTGCGAGATATACCTGCACGGTTTTCACAAGCCTCGCACGGTTTACATACATAATTCACCGTTTATAATTTCACACAGTTAAGTATAAATTGTTTCTCAAAATTCTCATCGCAGTTTGAATCATTCCTGTTACGGTACCACATCATAGAAACGCGTGAGTTTTTTTCTTCTGTGGTGTTGATATTAACCCTTTGTCCTATGGTTTCTTTCTCAACTATGATCACAAATTTAATTGCGATGGAAGATCGTTAGCTTGTAGAAGAGGAAGACGTGACTCCCAGGATGTATGACAGAAGAATATTTAAAGAACTGTTCTTGTCCGCCTCAGTGACGTTTTTGGTATACTGTTTTTGGGGGAAATTCGAGTGGGAGTATGCTGCATACTTTTTTACAATGATGACGTAACGTATTACGGAAAAGTGGTTTATGGCATGCCGGACGCTAAGGGATCTTCTGTTGGGCCTGCTTGTAAAATTTTCTATTTTGTACTGCGTTACGATTATTTGGATTCAATCTTTTGAATCACGTAATGTTTATGTTCGTTAAATTGTATTTGAAATCTTAACCATGTGTTTCACACGATATTATAAGCCAAGGGATTAAGTGGAATGAAAATGTAAGACCTGCGTTGATCCGGTCTAGTATTACCCTAATCAAATCGTGAATCCGCGCTGTTTGAAACAAATATTTCTATGAAATCAAAAAAGAATTGTTAATGAAAACATTAAACTGTGTAGTATTCGGTTGGTCATGTATCGAAAACGACACCATTATCATTAAATGCTACTTTGAGAAACATACTTTTAAGAATTTATTAGTAGCAGATTATTGTACATAAACGCGGTGACACGAGGATAATCTACTGGGAGTAATATAGATATTACCGAATGATGATTCCGTTAGCAATGTCCCTGTCGCTATATTTACGTGGTTGCAGTAATATAGACATATCTGCTATTCTGCTCTGATTCATACTGCATTTGCGGAATACTTACAGTAACATAAATAGATGAAACTATCGTAAATGTTTGACAAAACATTATTACCTTATCCAAACATAAAATTCAAGGAAACGATGTACTATTTTGCGCATGCGCAGAATGTTCCTATATAAATGAAATTGGCGGGAAAAATTAGTTTAGCTTAAAAATCAATAATAGCTTTAAAAGTGAAATAACCTTATATTAGTCAATTGATGTTAATATCGTCGTCATATATTGCCAATGATAAATGTCGAAGAGTTTAGTGAAATATTTTACGATGTTAGCATCGTAAATTCTGAAAGTGGAACAATTGTGTGTTCGTGGCAATGTGTCGTGACCGAAACGATTTCTTGCCTTATGTAAAAGTTAGTACCCCATTCCCAGCAATGAGAACAATATGTTCTTTCTATTCGCTCTCTTAAAACCGGCGCAAGGAGCAGCACTTAAGTCTCCGTTTGCTTTGTCCTTTGATTCGACGTTCGTAAAGCGAAGCGTGAAATAAAGGAAGCCGGCTGTGCCGCTCGCAAAATGTCACAGACACTATAGGGTCTTAGAAACACGTTCGAGAACTACGACCGCTTTCGGCCGCATAAAACGTACGTACTTACAGAAAGTCGTAAAACTCCGATTCACGGTGACGATCAGCATCGAAGTTGAAGTGCTGCTCCCATCTTGTCCAGGTAGAATTCGATGGGCAGAAATGTAGTAAAAATCAATTGACTGATTCCGCGGATCATTACAAGATTAAAGAATCGTTTTCGATTTGAAAAATTACAAATAAAATCGCGGTTGCACTAACGAGTTTGATTATACGGCTGACAACGATCAAATTAATACATTTATGCAATTATTTTGCATCTTACAATCGTACAAATATTCCACTAGATCTTGAGATACAAACTGATTGTCTTGATGTCAGACATCTTTTAAATGATCGAACGATTTATCGAAAGAAGGTACGCGCATGCGCTGTATTTATTTGCTTCGTCTGACACAAGGGTTGAATGCGAACCTCTGCTTGGCAGACAGCCGTCAGACGGTTAGAATGTGAAAAGAGTGACAGTTTGTGATCAAGATTATTTACATTTGTGATTATCGTTGGGTCTAAGCAAAATTTATCATTACAATGGATCCAGCATTGCTTAGGGAACGAGAACTCTTTAAAAAGAGAGCCCTTACTACTCCGACGTAAGTACTGAATGCTATTTCGTGTTCCTAACCTATACAAAATTAACATAAGAAGTTAAAGATAAGAATTATTTATATTACACTTGAGTTTATTTCATATACAGAACTTTAATAGTAACTTCACGCAATTTTCTGTTATTACATGTTAGGAAATTCTTTTTTACAGGGTAGAAAAGAAAAGAAAAGAACATGAAAAAGACTCTTCTCGTGATGAACCACTCAAGAAAAAACCTAAACCATCATCGGTGTCCAGTGGACCAAAATTGGACATGGTTAATTATAAAACTATGTCTGGTAGTACTCAATATAAATTTGGTGTGTTAGCAAAAATAGTGAAACACATGAAAGCTCGACATCAAGAAGGTGACGATCATCCGTTAACGTTAGAAGAAATATTAGACGAAACTAATCAGTTAGATGTAGGATCTAAGGTAGGTTTTGGGTGTAATATAAGGTAAGTTGTAATACTCTTGATAATACGTATCATCAAATTGACTTATTGGTTAGGTAAAGCAATGGCTCCAAACAGAAGCTCTTATTAAAAATCCAAAAATAGAAGTGACACCTGATGGTAGATTTGTATTTAAAGCTATGTATAAAATAAAAGATAAAAAATCTTTGTTAAGGTTATTAAAGCAACAAGACTTAAAAGGTCTTGGTGGAATTTTATTAGAAGATATACAAGAAAGCTTGCCACACTGTGATAAACATTTGAAGGCAAGTATAAAAGTGAGTGTGTATAAAGTATTATAAAAGTGAGAAGTTAAGTGTTTTTAATAGTGTTGTATTAATTATAGAGTTTACAAAATGAAATATTATTCATCACTAGACCACTAGACAAAAAGAAAATTGTCTTTTATAACGACAAAACAGCTCAATTTCCGATAGATGATGAGTTTCAAAAATTATGGAGAGCTGTTGCAGTCGATGCAATGGATGATCAAAAAATCGATGAATACCTTGAGAAACAAGGTATAAGATCAATGCAAGATCATGGTCCCAAAAAGCCTGCTCCAATCAAAAGAAAGAAGCCTATTAGTAAGAGGAAACAATTCAAAAAACCAAGGGATAATGAACATTTAGCAGATGTATTAGAAACATACGATGACACGAAATAAATATACTCCAATGTTTGTAAATAAAATCAATCTATGAATGAATTGTTGAAAGAGAAATAAGAGTGTTTTACCATTATAATTTCGTTCTTACATATTGTAATTAATATACAATCTCATTTTGAAGCGCGTAGTATAACAAATCACAGTGATATAATAAATAAGTAAAATATTTATTGTCATAACATTTCATTATAAGTACAAAATAAATATAGATCAACTGGTATAAGATTCCACATGTATCTAAATTACATGTTTAAATATAGTATGTGATAATATTGAATATTAAATATTGTTTTAAATATATATATATGTATTATATATATTTAAATATATATGTGGCACTGAAATTTTACATAAATTAGAGTAGATTTTAATTTATGTAATGTCAATATATTGCTTCTGCTTTGCGTTAATAAATTTTTTATCGTGAAATCTTGAAGACTACATACTTTATGCAAAATATAAGATTATCATATAAATTACAAACGTTACATGATGTTAAACAAATCTTTGGTACTTATAATTTTGATGATAAGTACGTACAACTGCATACTATGAATGCAATTGTTTTCTTGTTTCTAAGATAACACTGTAAATTTTCATAAAAATAATTTTCACGATAACTCGTTTTATACGTATTTTTAAATTGAATATTTTTATGAATAAATTAAAAAATTATGTATATTAATCCTTCGGTAGTGCAGAATCACTTTTACCTCGCGAATAAGCGCGTGTTGCTTTGCTACCAAGCATTCTATCCAACAAAGATTGTTTGTTCCTTCTTCTGGCAGCCAAAACTTCCCGGCACAATTCGTGGAAAGATTCAGCGACTTGAGTGACCTGAACAAATAAATTATTTTCCAAATAAGATATAAATGTTGAATACAATTTCTTACATAAACTTCTAATAAAATGTGTAGTTAAAATAGTTTTAAGATATTTATTTACTAATATAAATTTAAACGTTTCCCCTTACAGCGTAAATTTTTTAATAAAAATTTGTTCTACATTATGAAAATTAGTAATGAAATACACTACATAAATAAATTAAAAAATTTTCAAATAGAAATCAAACTAAAATTAATTTATCTAGTCAACCAAACTCTAATGCATTTGTTCATTTAAAATTCCTTCTAAGAAACTGCAGTAAAATACTTGAAATACAATAAAATAATTCTTTTTGTCCAAATTATATAAAATAATAATTAATAATATAGATGTTAACTGAATCTCAAAAATGTAATAATACTTCAACTTTATTATCCAATGATCCACATTAGGATGCACGTGAAACTGCAATTAAAATTAAATAAAGCAAATGTTTATATAGCCGTTACTCATAATTTTTATTACTATTACTTTATTGTCCTCTGTGTATCTATGGAAATGATGCTCCCATCAAAAATGTTGCTGCATGATTATTCAAAGGAATTATTTTTAAAAATTCAGCAAAATACACTTTTCCCAATTCTATTTAGACAACTATTCTTAAACTTCTTGCCTATAGTCTGTACGAGTTAATAAAGAATTTACCTGTTCAGCGGCGGATACTTCGCTAAACCAACATTCGAAATCTTTCGCGAGTATCTCCCCCTCTTCGGTGCTGACTTGTCTTAAGTGTACCATATCGGCTTTGTTTCCAACCATGGCGAGAGGCATCGTGGCTTCCGGGTCAGCCACTGCTAGCGTATCCTTCGCTTTCCGCACAAAATTGAAAGAGCCTCTCTCGGTTATCGAGTAGACTAAAAGTAATCCGTCTGCCCATTGTAGAGTCTCTGTGGATGGTAGTTCATCTTCGCTCTAAAAAATCGAATAACAAATATTGAAACCATCACATTTATCTTCGTTAATTAATACATTCACTACACATTTCGTGCATACGAATACAAACGTTACCTTCGGGCAGGTGTCCAAAATTTCGAAAAGAATGGGTTCACCGTCGACGAGCACCTCGTGTTTGTATCTGTTCTCTAAAAAAGAAGCACGAAGGCCAAAGTTTTCTACGTGTAAACAATAATTTATCCCTATATGGACTAAGATAATCTAAAGATGAAAGTTTAATACGTTCTCGACCAGCGTCACATATTTTTAACGTTCTTTCTTGAATTTTATTTCCATTTTACGAAGACGATGTATTGCATTTCATAAAATAATGTAACTATGAAGATTACTATTAACACAAATGCTGATCGCCAACGTGTTAACACTAAAACTACTGATTTAAAAATTGTCTTTTTGAAATTTCTCTATAGAAACTCCAAGAGCGCATCTATTGACACTTTAATTGATTTACAATGCAGTCTACGTATTGCTAAATCAATTCTTTTAATAATTTCTCAGAGAAACATCCGTTATCTTTTTACCAATTGCAAAAGGAAGAAATCAGGAATAAGTAATTTTGACCCGTCTGGTAGTTTTAGTATTAAGGAACGAAATCTCAGAAAAACTATGCAACGAATTTTCATCTAGGCCGCGCGTATAGTCGGGATCAGGTACATATCCCGGTAGCTACGTGAATCTTTTCAGTCTAGTCCAGTTTTAGAACCTCGGCGGAGCACATGCTCGCAAGAAAGCCGCTTGTCTTCTATCTGCGTCTGTATTTCTACAAAACAAGGAGTTTTGTTCGAGTATCAACCTTGCATTAGTACCCGTCCTGTCTAGTGTCAAATTCGTCTTCGATAAATTTAGACCAGACGCGGGCCGAGGTATGCGTAGGGAGCGTTATGTGAGGCCTTTGAGGTAGGCATACAGTTGCTGGCAGTTTTTCAAAAAACGAAAAAAAGGACACGTCATCTATTGTCAACTCTATCCACATTTCATCGTAGTTTATGCCACGGCGAGAAGCCGCGTTCTATCAGAAGCTAGTCGTGCACTGTAAATTGAGATGTTCCTCACCTGACTGGTGATCATATTCCCCAATGTATCTCCTTGTTAGAAACCTCACCGTCAATGCTGGAATGCAAATAGAATAAACATTGTTGAAGTATTGTATTCGAATAATATAAATTCCTGAATAAGTGTGTAATGTGATAGAATTATAAAAATGGTAATATTTCGTAAATATTTATTTAATAAATGTACCATTCCATAGTAACTTTATTATTATCATCGTTACAATTTATATCACGTAATGTGCATATGCGTTCAATATCTATTAAGTGGTCCATTCGCCAATAAAATTTTCAACTGCGTATTTAGAGAATTGAATTAGAAATTATCTTTGTATTAGATTCAGTCTAATATAGCTTTTAGTATTAACAATACATAATATCTATTAATCGAAAACTGTTAGTTAATTAATTGATTACTCTCTGTTAGTCAATTCATGCAAGTTGTTTATAGTATAAAATTATTCTTTCGATGCATGCATAAATTCGTTTAGAAACAAAATATGTTACTGAATTTTAATGTTAGTTTCATGAAAAATAAAGGGGATCGACATAAACCTCCGAATTTCTTTCAACTTTTGTTAAAAAATTCAATTACTGGTCAGTCGAAGTGAATTCCCTCTTGAAATTCCGAAAACCTACATGATCTTGTTCGATATGGTACGTCTGCCGACATATCGCCATTCGATCGAGAGAAACGAGAGCTATAGCCTAGTGACCTGCTTCGAGGTACACCACACTATTTTTACCTCGAACTCGAACCTGCTACGGCGCCACAAAACCTTGCACGACCGTTAAACGTCATCATGATGTGTTTCATCTTGAATTCAATGAAAATTGAACCGTTTTATGAATGTTTCGAAAACTTTTATCGCCCGAAGATTGAATTATCATTAGGTTTCGTCACACCCAAGACGTTATTACATAAATCAAAAAAAATGTTGCTTCACTTGCCAGGGGGTCAAAGTACGTATTCTGCGATATTTATTACGTATTGTAACTTTTAATAAAGATGCGATATCGACCCATGGCTGATTCCAAAAAATTATAAAAAATTCAAACTTTTCGACGGTGTATAAGTTTATGTAATTTATTTATTGCTCACATAATTTTTTCACGTTTTCCGTATTTGTCAAGGTGGGAAAAATTCAGAGAAATTGCAATTCCTAAAAAGGTATCGCTTGATTATAACCAAAAACACTAGTTTTAGAAAAATCGGTCTCGAATAATTTTGACTCATTTTAAATCAACGCCTTTATTGGCGATCGATGTATTTACGTTAGCATCCTTAGAGCAACATCATTTGGATGCTTTCCTTCGTGTGCATCATTAAAAGTTTGCGGGCTTTCGTGCCAACTTCCTATGCGGATCGATTCGACCAATCCAATTGACCTTTTTACTTTTCTTTCAACAAAAAGGAAAGTCTCTCACGGTAGGTTAAAAATACATTCCACGAGAAACTCGTCGCGAGAGAGACACTACGTCTCGTAGTTTCGTAGTGACGCGGACGGTCGATTTTTTCTATTCACTGAAAATCGACAGTGTAATCTTTTATAAGACGTGATCTGAACACATTTTCGAAATAAAACTTTATTTATAGTGTACACAGAATCTGCGGTGAACGCGGGACACAGGACTGCAGGAGTCCATCCAATTATTTATTCACCTATGTCTTACACGCGCCATTACCAAAAATACACATGGCTAGATTGTTTCAAATATCTATGCAGATTTTTATAATTCCTCTTATCATCTGAATATTCAGGATCCTTGCATTTATATTTGATTTAAGAGAGCAGAATAGTTTCAAATCATGAATCATAGATACATTTTTCGACTTTTTCATAGAATAACAGCTCATATAATTGATAGAATATTGTGATGTATTCAAATAAAAAGTTTGTACTTTTAAAGTTTCTTTAAATTTAGACGGTTGCACGGCGAACATGTAAATGGCCTTATGTCATATCCCCAATTAAAAGTAAAATTTGTTTTATTTAGTATGTCAATTTTAATCACGCTAAGATATCTACTATGCGAGCTTGTTTTCAAATTTAGAAAAATAAAAAGATAGTAATAAGATAAAGTTGTAATAATAAGTTTTCATGCCTACCGCAAAAAGAATAGTAATTTTGAGGAAAACGTATTTCAAGATTTGGCCGAGTCGTCGAGCTACATAGATCGCTTCGTTCAAAATGTTATAATTACATCAGTTCTCCGAATTTCTATATTAGATTTGTCTTATATGCTTTAAAATATCAGTCCCTACGTATATATAAAACAAATCCAATTCTTTCAAATTTTTGAACAACTATGATTTTGGAATTTCGGTATTTACAGACAATTTTTTTTATAAGCAATCCATTTTCTCGTGCGTATTTACAACAGTTTCTATAGATACAATTTAAAATAATTTCATACGTCATCTCAACAAAATTCGTTGAGAAATAATGTAGTACTACGATCAATGGATAAAGAGGTATGATAAAAATGATTTGTCATAAGCAATTTCTACAACGAGTTTGATCTAACGACTCCTAACTGTACATTGAACTGTATGCAGACACTGCGGTTAATGTCATACTTGTTTCTATCACATAGAAATTAAATTTACGATAGTTCCTTACGCATTAGAAGTATGCCAAGAAAACGGAAAAGATCGTTTGCAGTATAATATATATTTACAATTGCTTTTAGAGTGTATTAAGACGTACTAATAATTAAGACATTCAAACAAAGATAAAGTAAACATGCACATAAGAAATTTAATAATTGGAAAAAATCGCTTTATGTCAGTATATACTATGTCCAACATTATTATGTATTAAAATATTCATTCAACAGTTTCCAATTCTGCTGCTTGCTGCCACGAAAGTACAAAAGCTGAATAAAAATTAACGCCCGCGTGAAGCATCGAATCAAATTTTTCAGGAACTCGACGAGTCGCTAATTTTAAAGCTCTCATGCTCTCGAATTCCGCGTCCACTTATCGTAGATTCGGAGCCCAGATGTACGGCATCAAATAGTCGGCAACTATATGAAGCGGAACATTTGTTTCTAAAATTACTGGCCTCGGTTTTAACGAAACAAACCTCGCCCATGGAAGCAAAACAAGATACGACGGGATCAGAAACTTTCCCCGGCACCCCGGAAAATTATGTGGCCGTCAGAAGGCATGAGGACCAAGCTACAAGGGTTGGAAGATAAGGGAAACATTGCTTATAAGTCATATACCGTATAACTAAGAGAATTTTTTAAAGTATTATAAATCTTCTCTATAAAAATCTAAATTATACACCTTAAATTTTATAAAAGAAAAGTACTACAGATTTATCTTTTGTTATTTATGTAATTAAGTTCAAATGGCATAGTATTTTAATTACCCCCTTGCGAACGACGACTTTTTTTTTAAGTATTAAGAACCTTCTTTGTAAGAAGCTAACTTATTAGCCTTAAATTCTAGAAAAAAGAATGGATTAATCTTTTGTTATTCAAATAACTAAGTTACTTGCTTGTAACCTTCGATATTACATACAAAAGTCTGATGTCGCTAATATAACGACATTCGTTTTCAAACGGTTAAACGTTATTATAAGATTTGCACAATATTAATAGAATATTAATAGAATAGATATAGACAGAAAATTTGTTGAACGTACGGAGTGTTTCCATTATTTCGTCCAAACTCTGTGCAACTATTCATCGTTTCAATTTCAAGCAGAAACAATGAACGATCGGCGGGAGCGCTTTCTAAGCGGAACAAGATGCAAGACAAGGCGTGTTATACCCACCGCTCTTCCCGACTCCGGGCGCCCCGATCACAGCCACCTTTACCTCGCATAGCGAACTCTTCTTCCTCCGTATGCCTCTAATTGCATTTGACGTCATACTCCGCGCATTCGTCACTGCACAAAGCATAACAGAACCATGTAGCGCGCTGCAATGGAAACGAGTCTAGGAGAACGAGCGGGAACGAGTGTTGTGTGTGCGTGCGTGCCGCCCTTGCGGAGGGTGTACGAGTCGGAAAAATTCGTCACGATTACATCTTTCGTTGGCCGGTGTCCACGGGCGTCGATAAACGCCTCCGAATTTCGTATAAAACGCGCCCGAGACCCGCGCGCAGGTGAGGAGAGAGTCCGGTGTGTCGCAAAGGTCGCGTCTGCCAAGGAAAACACTGGCCGGAAATCGTTTTGGTTTAATAATACAGTCGTATTAGCTGGCTACGATAACACCGATTTCACCGGCTTGCCGATGAATTACTTCTGCTCTCGTTTAACACTAGAACTACCAGACACGTCAACATGATTTACTACGAAAAATCATTTCTTTCTTTACGAATATCGAGGAGGAATGCTTTAAACACTGACTTCTATCACTCGAATCGAAGTGACACATTTTTGTAGAAATTTAGAAATTAATGTTTTGGGATCAAGCGAATCAAATTTTATTGGATCTATGATACCCAAGGAGATTAAGACAGTCACTGTGAAAAATGTTGTGAGTCTTAGTTTCTCTTTCATTAAGAATCTTGTTTCAACTGAAGTTTTGATTAATGTCAAACTGTTATGTGTGCATTAAAATGTAAGTGAATCGAGATCTTGAATGCCCTCTAACAATTTGTATAAAATAATCAATTACTCGACTACCCAATTTCAGCATTAAAACTACCAGATGAGTCGAAATGACCCATTTCAGATTGCTTCTTCCATGATTATTAAAAAGATACAGCTGCTTCTCTGAAAAATGGTTAAGAAAATTACTTTAGTAATACGCAAACTAAAATATCAGTTATCAAGAGGCACATTTCGATCATTTCAAAACGGGAACATCCGCGAGATCGGCCGAGAGGCGTTCGCTTCGTGTTCCCCTTCGGACGAAAGTTTAAATATGCCGCGACTCTTCGTTCTGGCCGCCGGGTGAAAGAAGGGAGAAGAGAATGGAAGCCGGAGAAAGAGAAAGAAAGAGAAAGAGAGAGGGAAAGAGAAGGAAAAAGAGAGAGAGCGGGAGAGCGCGCGCCGCGGTCGCCGGACAGAGAACGAACGACGCGATGGGTACATTAATAGAACAGTTCGCACATGTCCCGCGGAATCCGAAGAATTTATTCCCGGCGTCTAACAATGTACCGCTGCGGCACACAAGTCGAGTTACGGGTGAACAAGCCTCGAGTATACCCAGGCATGACCGTGTTTTGGGTCGCGAACGATGCACTTGAATCGCATTCCGTTCACCGCGGCCAAATTAAAACGCGTTGCGAACAGTTTTCTCGGCCGTCGGCCGCGCGTGCCGATACACGATCAAACGTCGCACGCGCGTGCGTTGCGCCCATTAACGGGGAAAACGAATCGGAATATTCCGACATGAAATATCAGCTATCGATTATCCGCGATGCACTTTCTCGGAAACTATTATAAACATCTATTTTTATGTCTCGCCGCTTACCGCTCACCTAAAACACACCGATGTACAGTCTCCTCACCATTCCCCGTCACACTTTTCTATCAACTCGTTCGAACGTCAACCATCCTGTTTTTATCGATACGCTAGAAATATCGGAACGCGTATTTTGCCCGTCCTCTTTATGGAAATCGTTCTTCTTTCTTTTAGTGAAAAAAAAGCAAAGGCGATACCGAAGGAGGTTGCGGTGAATTGCGCGAATCGCCGCGGAAAGGGATCGATGTCCAGCGGAGCACGATCCGATACGGTTCTCGCGCGAGCGCCGAGTCACGTGTTCCCGAACGATTTCGCGGTTCCGTTGCGTGATCCGACGCGCTTCTTGGTCTCCGCTCGACTGTCTTTCCCCATTCTCTTTTGGCGGCTTGCAAGCCGGGCCTCCTTTATTGCTCTTAAGCCACGTACGCGCGATATCCACTTCCGGTACGGGAGTGCGCGCACGGACTCGAAGGTCGTGTTTCGTAAACTCCGTGTTTCCTGACGTGCCTGCTCCGTTTTAGACACTTCCGAATCGTTTTCTGGGAAAAATATTGACTCCGAGGATCGCGCGCTTCGCTCGTAAACGCTCGTCGAAGAAGTCTCAGGTTTCCGGAACGGTCTGGTCCGCGTTCTTCCGGGTGCGGCGAGAGGAAATCCGTTTCGTGGGTCAACCAGTGCAAACTTTCTCGATTGTTGCTGCTAGCCGAGCGGAGTGTGCTCGAAGATGTATGCAAACAAACAGTCGCCAGGGATATTTACGATTTATTTAGAATCTCGCAGTGTCGATTAGTCCTTTCAGTAGTCTCGGTGAAGTGGCTTTCGACGGTTTTAGCGCGAGCCGGTATCGAGGTTCCGATACGGTAGGTGTCTATGTTTGCCGACGGTTCGACCGTTCTCTACGACGGGACTGGTATCCTTGGCTAGAGGAGCCACTCGTCGGTGAACTCTTGGGTCTCTTCCTTTCCGACCACGCCGCGTTTCGTCGCGACCCTCCTCGACGCCCCCGGACAACCACCAAAGATCCAATTTACCGCCCGCAATAAGACAGGTTTGAATTGATCTGAAGCAGCAAAATAGTTTTGTTGCGCAATCTTATATTATGTACATTAGAAGTAATTGATAAATTTATGTTCTGTTGACGGTTTCATATGAAATACGATCGGTAACCAGGGACGCGCCAACCCGAGAGTGTAAGGGGTGCACCGTATCTGGGCATCAACATTGACTTGTTAACTGTGGAATTTAGTTTGAAAAATCTCTTGTTTCGCGCGCAGTAAAATCGATAAAGGAAGAGTGTACTCGTCCAACGCGTGAGGAATGTACCTAGGCTATATTTCAATGAAAAACCAATGAAAAACAAAGAATAATTACATGTCCATCTAAAAAAAATACGAAATTCATCGTTGAAAGAATTAGTATCATTTCAAGCTTTAAAATGACGTGCACACTCGTCAAACGCAGTTAACTGGTTAATATGACGGCAAAAAACAAATATGTAATATTTATTTTATGCATCTAATATTTAGTTTGAATTATCTAATAAAATGTAATTATTAATAGCGCGGAGAATGAGATGGCGTACGGCCTTGCGGTGGAACATTATTAAAACATCATGATGCTTTTCAATTTATTAACACGTTCAGTGCCGCGTATATCACATATGGTACATGATCATTTTTGGAAGAAAAAATTGTTATGGAACACGTGGCTACGGATTAATATATTGTTTTAAAAAATCCATATACTTTGTAAGTAAAATATAATTTAAATTTACGGTGGCATGGAACGTGTTAAGAGAAGGCCAATAAAAGTTTACACCTGAACGGCAAATAGCTTTGGCGCGCCCCTGTCGGTAACGCTTCAAAGTGTTTTAAACGTTAACGTATCTTTTAAAATACCATTCGTCGTTGTGATCGTAACGTACTCTTCAAGATCGGTTTCGTGTAAAAGTTGTCGTAGTCGAAGATCGAGTCGTCCGAATACGTTTTATACGCGTGGCTCTCCCTCTGAGGTCTATCGTCGATTTCGTATTTTGCAATTATACGTCTTCCGTGCTGAGAATTTTCGTCGTCTGCCTCGCCATCCCGGTCCGTGTAATATGGAACGTTATTGCAGCAATGGTCAATTAATTTATTTCTATGGATAGATCTTGATGAGATATTGTTACGTGGGCGTGTAAGTTCTTCATGATTCTGAAGCAAAAGTAAATATTCCTCGCACTGTATTCTATAAATCAAATCATCAGAAATATATAAATGATAAGTTACTTGTGTTATTATTTCGCCATCATCTTGAAAATTAACCCTCCTGTCGTTGTTCAAATTATTCGACTTCATCAACCGACTTTCACGACCGTGATTTGTATAATTCTCGCCCTTATCGTGTATTTTCGAGTTTACCATACTTTTCGACGATCTGAGAATGAACATTTTTATCTACTTACCATGTTTATCGCGCGGTATACTAAATCGAGAATAACTCAATTACTTTAGTACGTTTTTAGTCTCATTTGACAATTCTGTGTTCAGAATTTCTCTGTTTATATCTGCAGATGACATTGAACATCCGTTGTCACCTTCACAGCATTTGCCTCCGCATTGATACGTATTCGACTGATACGATTCCGGGTAATCGAAATATCTTGAAACTTCAGCTTCTGGTGTAAAACTCAAATCGACATCCTTAACATACGTTTCTATACCCTACATTAGTTTTTTAACGCAGAATTGTGCACACGAATTAATAACGCAGCCAGAAGATATAATTGAAATATTAAGAAATAAATAATCACGAGAGATCAAAGTCTTTAATAAAAATTACTGATTCTGTGTGATTATTGTGATCCCTCGTTGGTCCTTCTTGCTCTGAGGCTGAGCCTTCTGTTTTAGTGGACAATCTGTCGGTCGACGTACCGCATTCTTTGTATTCTACTTTACAATAAGGATCTTCAACAAGAACGACGTCATCCTTTTCGTATTTTTGGTCGAGCATAGCCATTTGCCTTGGACTGCCGCTGTAAGTATAAATAAAAATGATTCTTTAGAAAAGATCCTTTAATCCTTTACACTTTTATGTCGAATGTGACTCGACATCAGATTTATTCGAAAGTATGCTTCTCTGTCGAGCCATTTTTAAATTGTATTATGTTATTATACTATTTCCGACAGTATTACGAAAAAGAATTATTTAAAAAGGATTGTTTCTTACCAACTAACTATCTTTCAAAATACAGTTTAAGTAAAACATTTTAAATAATACAAAATGATCGAAAAGAAAATGTAAAAAGAGGTCGGAATGCAAAAGGTTAATAAAGTGATGTTGTTCTTCAGTTTTTTTTAACGTGGGGATAAAGTAACGAATTAAAAATATTGTGTTTTCGTTTATCAATGTCTAAAAAAGGAAATAATTATACTGCTTAAGGTTATAGCAATTGTTAGTATACCTGATTAAAAGTGCATAATCTTCTACCGATCCATTTATTCTATTCACGCCACATAAATTCGTTTTCACGTATTTTTGAATATCGTCTATTCTGTCAGTGTAGAAATGAGATAGTTTTGCCATATCAACTCGAGGATCCGAAGCTTTCTTAATGATGCTACTTCGAAGGTAGTGACGAGAATGTCGGATATCTTTGCTTAGCTTTCTATTGAGCTTCTTTTTCTCTCTAAATCTGTAAAGAAATGTTAATTTAACTTTAAAATAGACTATTGAAAATTTACACACATTTTTGTAAAATGTAAAATTCATTTGATATTGAATGAAAAATTTCCGGCCATCAATCGGCATTAATGCAAAAGATATTTTTTAAACTGACTCTCGTAATCCATTTTCGTCCAGACTTGTTTTCAGCTTTGCGCTGTAAACATGCGCACGCTCGAAATCCTCAGTGTTTTCCTGGCCTTCTCGCGATCGCCGTCTCTGCGCGTTTAAGGATTGATCGTATCTTGCACGATGATACTTGGATTTGATAGCTTCATACACGTAGTCGCTTTCTTGCACACTGAGCACCGATTTCAAAAAATTTGCCGTGATATCAATTAGAGCGTAACAAATTTTTCGCGCATCTGTGGAAAGAATATAATATTAATATGAAATGTCCAATTAAGCTGCCCAACTGAAATCAATATAGAACTACATATTATGAAGAAATTCAACGCTGTGTTCGATATTACTTTTTCATAATTTATACAAAAAATTAATTGCAAAGCTAACATGAAAATGATTGAGAGATTCATATTATTTAATTATATATATAAATATCATTTAAATTCAATGCATATTTAATTCCTTTTACTTTTATATCACATCTGAATTTTATACATTTCATAATAAATGGAAATCTCTATGTTACCCTTAAAATACCATACATCGCTGAAAGTTGTAGAGATGTTTTAAAACGTTTGCTTTTAATAATTAATTTCAATTTCTTAGCAAAGGTTATTTTGTTTTCACGAACTTCGTCGCTTTTTTATTTCTAAATAAATTACTCACATGGACGAGATTCTGGAATATAATACAGGATCACTCCTGACAGCATTAACATTACCAAGGTGAGACGTTTCAAGTAGCTGACCCATCCAAACACAAAGAAAGATTGCTCTGAATAACCTATCGATTGAAATTAATATTATTTCGAGCACTGGTTCCGTCACAATTATCAATTACTGTCGTTGGTCCATGATTTTGTTGCGGTGCACTGTATCATAAGCACACCGAGCACGGCCAAGAATTTCATGTCTGTTGGAAGCGACGCGAGCTTCCCTCCGCTGGCTAGTATTCGGTGTTACGTGGGCATCGTCATAATGCTTCAAATGAGACGGAAGATAGCACAGATGGTCAGCAACGCGACGTTGGCCTCGGGGCAAAATGAAGAAGAAGCAAATTTCACTTCGCTTCGTATTTGAGTCAGCGACGCGATCAATTTCAGCATGTCACAAAGAACATCAACTGACTCAATGATTTAAATACTCTACAAATAGACATATCAGTTATATATTTTTTAATATTTTTAATATTAATATTATTATTTGTGGATGAAATTGGTGACAAGCAAATTGGAATAATTTATTTAAATAATTCATTTTTTATTTATTTAAATTATTTAAATAATTTAAAAATAATCAAATCATATCGATTTCGTGGATAGAATATAGAGTTATTTGCTTTTTAGAAGTAAAATAGAATTCTGTTTTCTAAAATTTACAATTGTTATACATTAACACACAAGCTACCGAGCAGTTACATTGTCTTTTTAAAATTTCTCTATAGGAACTCTAAGAGTGCAGCTATCGAGACTTTAATTGATGTGCAATTCAGTTTGCGTATTGATAAATCAATTTCTTTAATTATCAGGAATGGGTCATTTTAACTCGTCTAATTTTAGTGTTTTCGTGTTAAATAGATCCACAGAGTATACTTTTGTAAATTTGTATAATTTTAGGTACATCGTAAACTACATAACAAAAGCATTGTGCAAATATAAATTTTAAGTGTCACAGAACGTACACTTTGCAAAGAAGTGCATCAGACACCAAATATAATTACATATGCGTACAAAATTTGTAAAACTCGATTTAGTACTCGAGGTAGTATCTCTCCCTTGATGGTCGAACCATTGTGCACAGGACATCCTATATGACCGGATCAGTAAAACGAGGGAACCAAATTTCATTTGGAAGAAAAGGCAATATTTAAGATTCATATCTTAGATTTTTATTATGCTCTGAGTACTATACAATATTATACAAAGGAAATCTAGTATACGCGCACCGACAGTTTCCTACGGCTGAGCAAGCGTGAACACGGCGCGCGTGTTAATACCAACTTGGAGGAAAGATATTTGGTACGAGTTAGCGACGGGAAAAAAGTGCAGGGTGCACAAGCAAGGACTCGCACTACACGCTAAACAGTGCGTTTCTAATATAACACATTGTCACTTCGTTATCGAAGCAAATTTCGTGAATAGTAACAAGTTTCTCGGGAAACAACACGCTTCTTTATTGACATGTCTCCACTATCAGACGGATAATTCGGATAAAATACACAGATACACGAAGACACTCGAAACATGGAATTCCCGATTGTCAAAGACGATCCTTTAACTAATACAAATGAGCATGTTTCCCAAGAAATGTATGGGTTCGTTAATACTTCTAAAAAATAAAGAGCCTACTTTGTCTTGTAATACTAATCGTCTGACTATACAGCTAAACTAAGTGTAGACGACACGCGAGTTACAAACTATCGCGGTGGATACCATCGTTTGCCTACACGAAGCAACTTGCAACACAATTGTGAATATTCTACATCTAAGATAATGGTGACAATAATAATAATAATAACATAAAGTACTGGAATAGAATACAATGCACTATGTATAACGTAATATAACAATGAAACGCATACGCATATACCCGTGACGTGATGCTCGCAAACTTTTCTCAAGTCCAAGGTATTTACTTTTGTCATATAAAATGGCAACTCTGCAATAATTGATTACTGAGAGCAATATAATACACGACCGCGTAGAGTTCATAAATAACTTTCTTCCCGTTCAAGAAATAGAGAGCTCAGATATTTGTTAGCGAGAATTTAATAAATAAGACGAAATGAATAAACGTTTTTCTTATAATGCGCTAAATACGAAAAAATATGAGCATACTTCGAACTTCACTTTGCCGAACATTTCAACCACGCGCACGTGCGTACAATTATGCGAATGGACGATTTTATACACAGAGTGAGAACGGTTCGATGCGAACGACGAATGATGATCAAGTGAAGTGACGTGCTTCACCGAGCCCATCGAGACCTTGACGTCTTTTCAGAGATACGTGTATTCATAACTCTCTTCCGCTTTGAAAATACGCCTTCTCCGTTCAACGAAAGGTGTCGATCTCTAACGAACAAACTTTAAATTTCGCGATTCCTACTAGAAGCATCGTAACTTTCGGTAAAAGCGTATCGAGGCGACATCAAAGGTCGATCGAGAAGCTCGACGACTCGCGGAAGAAACAACCGTATCGTGTCATGGGGATGGGTCCCTCAGTGGTCTTACGCGAACGACTTCTTGATTTTGTTGAGAGCGCTCGTGAGGTGGGTCATCTCGATATTCATCTGGGACATGAGATTCTCCAACCTGTCCACGCTGTCAAGAATCTCTACGCGTTGAGTGTGTGGATCGTATCTCACTTCGAAAGGTCGGCTCATGGTGGCCACCTGAACAAAAAAGTTTAATATTCAATACAAGTTGCTTTGGAAAAACATAATTGTTTATGAAATGAAAAATGAAAAAATTTGCTTTAACCGTGTAAATCAACAATCAACTAACTATGTAATTTAGTTTGGAAAATCTTTCGTTTTGCGCACAATAAAATCAAAATATAAAGTGTATACTCGTCGAGTGCACCTAGGGTATATTTTAATGAAAAACCAAAACAAAGAAAAATTATATGCTTATGTGAAAAAGTAAATAATTGATCGTTGAAAAAATTAGTATTATTTCACGCTTTAAGATGACGTGTATACTCGCCAAACGCAGTTAACTGATTAAATATCATTTAAACTGTTAAATGGTTTGGTCCAAATTCATCAAAACCAAAGTTGATACATCAAGTGCGAGATCTATTTATATAAATTAAAATTTTACTGATTTAAAATATCTTTACAGCTAAACGAATTCTATAAATTATAATTGAATTTTTTTTGTTTAATGCTTTATCTCGAGAATTTATTCTACGGTTTTCTACTTCAAGTTTTCTTTTCAATTGTGCGATAAGTAATACGGCGGCCAGTGTGTTAATGATCGGCGCAAAAGGGTTGGCGATGCTAGTGCGCAACGCGCCACGCGTTGATGTCTCCGATATTGAACTGTACTCACCCAGCGACGGAATTTCTCTTTGGCGTCCTCGAAACTTTCCGCGACGAAGTAAATTGGCTGGTATTCTTGATCTTGGTATTTTTGGACCGCCGTAGTTTCTGGCTCGAATGGTCGGTGCTCACATTTGTCGCTCAGCGCGTGAAGCAGCTCTCCATAAGCCGACAGAAGACCGGCGCCGTAAGCTTTCACCTCTTTACCTTCCTTACAGAGACCAAATTCAACTGTGAACCAGTAGATAGTGGACAGTTTCTCGATTTCCTCGTCTGAAGCACCGAGCGAGGCAAGACCGATTTCTTGGGAGAACTGGGCGAAGCTTGGATCAGCCAATAATGGCATGTGTCCCAAGAGTTCGTGGATGCAGTCCCTGTAAATAAAAGAATGGAACATTGATTTAAATTATTATCATAACAGTGTTATAATAGGTGTAATGATATTGTTGAATCTCTATGAAAAGTGAAGGAAATATGAGAAAGTTGTTTGTTTTCAATTTTTTAGAAGTTTAATATTTATAAGTTTACTATAGTTGAATTTTGCAATGTTTTGATTGGGAAGTTATTTAGATGTTTTAAATCAGAGTAACCTAATTGCAGTATCATTTTTCCAAAAATTCAATGATACTGATAAAAATGAAAAAAGTGGAAACATTAATTACACGATGAATCCATTGATTTCGATGTATTAAACATACAGTATCACATTGTCTTTCATAAAGCGATCGATAAACTCAAAATGGACCGATTATTTTATCGTATGGAATAAAATGCCTCCAATATTCGACATCTGTCGCATGCTACTTTCCTAGTGAAACGGTTCGCAACTGTGAAACTGAATTATCAACGCCTTCGTGTCGTTAAAAGCCAATTAGAGCTCCATTACGAGCTTAGAGAGGCTGGGAAATTGTGTTATCATGGTACTCTGTGTAACGGGATGCAACCCTCGTCATAACCTAGTATCGATTACCCTGTACACTTTTATATGAATCTTCCAACCAGATTCGAAAAAGCTAAAGAAAGTCTCAATTACTTCCAAATTCTAACATACTCTAATTACAACATTTTGAAAATGAATCCATCACTATCTTCTACTTAACATAAACATCACTAAAACTTCCACTCAAAACGCTCCCAAATTGTTTGAATGCCTTAAAATACTTACGGTTCAGGCGTGTGGAACGGCGTCTTGATGTGACGGATATATTGGGTGCTCTGGAACACCCTGAACGCAAGACTAGACAAGAAGTCCCTAGCTGTGAGCAGTCCTGCGGCCGGTCTCAGAGTGAACCCGGTGTTCTTCTTCAAGAAGTCGCTAACCTCTTGCAGCTGGGGTATACGGTTAGCTTCGAAGATCTTCTCTTCTTGCAGTCTCTTGAAAACTCTTTGGTACTCGATGCAAGCGTGTTTGGGGACCAGGTCTACGATAGTGTTGAACACGCGGTTCCACGTCTCGTTTTCCGTCTCGGTGTAAGGAATGCTGGGTATCACGTCACCATACTTGTAAGCAAAGGCAATTTCAGCGATCACTTTCCTGCGAGCGCGATATTCCTTGTCAGCGAAGCCGGGATGGTTCATGTCAAGGTCCGGCTCGTATTTGGTCATCAGATGGTTGCAGTTATCGAGATCAGACGCATGACGCGGGAACCACGGATCCTTGATGCTGACGGAGTTATCCGCCAGCAGTGTGACACCGTCCAACGCGGAGCTTTGACGAAGATTCCTGATCAGCTGCAGCAGGCTCTGCTTGGTCATGTCTACCTTGACCAGGACGTCGAACTGCAAACCCTCACGTTTAGAGGGTCTGGACTCGACGTGAGTCACGGTACCTTTGAAATTCTCGATCGTCTTCAAGATCCTCGCCAAGGAACCGATTCCTTCGCGCAGGCGCAGAACAAGCGCAGCTTTCTGCACGGTGTGCTCGCTTTCTGGACTCTCTTGGATAGTCCTCATCAGCACCACTTCTTCTTCCGTTAATCCTGCGTCTGAAGAAAGTAGAGAATGTATATTTCTTTCGTATTTTGAAATTCTGAAGACATTTCAACCCCATTCAGTGAGGTCTAGCGAGTTTTAAAATAAAGCGCAAGGATCGAGCGATTTATCCTGCCGCAGAAAGCTTCAGCTCTTAATTTACCGATTCTTGACCCTTATGCACTCTCGCCACGTTCACGTCTCGAGGCGTTAAGTGACTTCAGTGGACGGTAATAATCGAGCAATTCAGAGTCCATTTCCGTGAAATGTCTATTCCCGACCACTTTTATAGGGCAAGGCAGAGAAAGAATGAAGTAACCCCTTATTGTCGCCCACGAACGTGCTCGGTCCGCGGCCTCGAATCGAGGAAGCAAAGGGGAGTAACTGCGTTATACATTTATCGCGTGGGAGCGACGGCTAATACGATTCTAAATGCACAAAGTGAATTCGAAAATGCATCGGAGGAAGAAAGGGAAGAGCAAAAGGAAATAGGCCTCCTCTGGGTAATTCAGCCGAGTGTCAAAAGAATGCACGAGCTATTTCATTCTCCATTTGCTTCACCTTCTCTACAACCCTTACCAATGACCGGCAGTTTCCAGGATTTTCGTGAGAAGCACGATATACTACGACTTAGATGTATATAACATTTTTATTTATGTCGAGAAATCCACTTACCATCATCGTAATCATCTGGCTTAGCGTCGCTGTCCGATGAAACCTCCGCTCTCGCTTCTGTAAGTCAACAACAACATTCATGCCAAATGCAACATCGACTTAATACTTCTGGCCGGAAAGACACACGATAGAAATTTAATTTTGCGAATGCGAATATTATAACACTTTATGGCAATTCGAATTTTTTGTACGCGAAAACGTAGTTGACCAAGAAGCATCAGGAAATTTATGATCAATACTGACCTCCATCTTTAGCTGCGCAAGCCAATGTCTCCACTTGCTCGTCATCGCTGGACGACATGATCTCCGTCTGATGGTCTAGTTCCGAATCAACTAACGGATCTAATGACAAATAATATTCTCATGCAACATCGATAACATAATAAAATAAACTGAAGGAAAATCAGTTTTTGTCTACAGTATATAACGAATAGCTATTTAATTAAACATGCAAATCTTTAATATGACATCGATATTCAAATGAAAACAGATACGTATATAATTCTACAATTGTCAAGGATTAATGTACTTACCATTAGTTCGTTGACGAGCCTCTTCCAAAACAGTCTGCTTCGTCTGCTTCACAACCAAAGATTCAAAACGAGCATCGTCCACAAGGGATCGTCGTCTTGCGGGATAACCATTCTACACAGAACGTAAAAAGAAATTCGTTATTTTCTTAATTTTCTAAGAAATATTGCTTAATTAATTTCTCTAGCAAATTGATTTCTATGAATTGGAAAAAGTGGCATAAATACAAGTCTTTAAGCGGAACGGTTCCACTGTGCAAGTACTTTTCTTATATTTAATAATAGTACGAGATTTTGTTTATAAATTATTTACGAAGATTCATCATAAACTTTGAACAAAAAGGGAAAAAGAAGTTGAAAGAAATAAATGAGGATATTCTTCGATCTTATGTTGCTAATAAGAAAATACACAGAGTGATTCAGTTAACTGCAAGACTAAATTGTTGTAAAATGTGTGAAGTGTGGCAAAAGAATACTGCTAATTAATTTTTACCATTACCTATATAAACATTCAAATTTTGTGATACAAAAGGCTAATATGTATCTCAGAACAATTTTGTACGTTCAATAGTTTTCTTTAAGAAAAATTTCTAAAAGCCAGTTTGCTTCTACTGCCACAGTAAAGCAGCCTCTTAAATTATATTTCTAGAACGAAGTCCTTAGTGTTTAACAGTTCCGAGTGTCGAAAATTCAGTTTCACCCACGAAAGGAATTCAAACCCTCAAAGTTAAAGAACGATTGAAGTTGACCTAACTATCCAAGACAGACTACCGAGGAACGTCCGACAACCTCGATAACGAACCGAACACACGGAAATGAATTTTCGCCCAGGCCGTCCGGTTGCAGTTGAAAGATAGGAAATTAGCGCATCCTGCCTCCAGGAGAACAAAGCGAATCACGTTCACAAAGAAGATCCCGTATCGACGAATCTAACGTGTCAATGATTCTGTACGACTCACGGATCACATAAAGATGAACAATTACAATCACTATCTAAAAATTGATTAAACAATCGTTAAATTCAATGTTCCTAGCCTATCACAAATTAATTGCCAAACAGTTTCTCGTGCAAAGTGGGAAAAAGGGAACGCTACAATGACTTTTTACAGCTCACGCATGACATAAAGAACAATTTTATTTACTGTCGACACATTAATTAAACGACCCTTACATTCGATTTGCGTGGCCTGTCATGGACAAATTATCGAATTGATTTATCAGCGAAGTGGAAAAACGGAACGTGGAACGGAGTCGGCGGGATCATGAAAAGCTCATTAGAAATCTATCGGCGCAGCGGCTCGACGGTGCAAGACATATATCGGCCTGTCATTCAAATTCTTAACGACCGCTTTTCATGAATGGCGCACAAGGTGGGACCCAGTTACATTTTCCATGCGAGCGAAGCGGTTGGCACGGTTTAGAGAAACTGTGTGTAGTAATTCCTTAACTACGCGTGCCGCAAAGTGGGCCAAGTACTCCGCCGGTGGAACGGATAGATGACCGATGACTCTGCCGGATGATTGCATCACGAACCGATTATCCCGTAGAAAGATTGAAACTAGCCGATTTGAAAATTGCTCCTGATGGAACGGATAAAAAATGCTCGACTTCGCCCGACCGTTCCATGTATCACAGATAAAATCCGTGTTCAATGTATCGCTTGCTTAATTGACCTGACTCACGTTATCGGACGAATTTGGATGTCTTTTGACCTGCGTAATTCTTTCGTTCGAACCGTTTTTGGTGTTTACGCGGAAGTGGTTCTCGATGATGCAAACACAGAACGATCCTGAATACATTAACGCTAGAGCTACCGAACGTTTAATGTAATTAATATATGATTTTTATAAAATTTGTAACAATAGATGCTTTCCGGTTTCTTTGTATGTTCATTATAGTATTCAAGTTAAACTATTTTTAACATCGTTTCGAATATTTAACCCCCTTAAGAAATCGATAATCGATATATTTATAGTGTAAAGTGAAATGGAAAAATGAAAAGTAAAAAAAAATAAAAAGATTTGAAGAAATTATAAGTATGAAAGAATCTAATCAAGTGTTTGGACATTAAAATTTGGTAAACTTCAAAAAACGGAGTAAGTGAACTTAACGTGTCAGAGTTTGGTATACTTTGTAACGTTAAACGTATGAATAGTCTTCAGTGCTCCTAATACCGATACGATTAATTGGACGGGGAAATCATTTGTCCGTTACCTCATAACCGCAGCTCAAATTACTTATTTAGCATTTCAAACGAACCGTACGCGATTTCCGCGCGCTTAATCGAGACATTCGATGAGACTTTTTGCCGGTAAAACGGCAATAACGATCCTAGGTAAGTCCGTCCAAGGCCGATCATTATTTTATCATTACAATCATAGCTGCATAACGTTGCTACTTATTTTATTTCACGCTCGCCTCGCAATGAACCTTGCAATCCTCTGTATAAACCGATTGAAACGCGAAACCGGTTGGTTTCTAAGGTCGTGGAACAAATTTGAGATTTCAGGATTACTCGTGATTGAATACAAAACTAAAGATTAATTAAAGAACAATAAAAACAAGAAAACACAAAAAAACAGAGACTGGAAGCTTGAATTGCAAATGAAAACGATCATCCATTTTGAAAGGGAAATCCTCGATGTCTGAGATCGAGGTGGAGTGAAAACAGAATCACGATTAGCGATCGTTATGGGTGGAGGAGAGGAAGAAAAAACGGCACGCGAAGAGAAAAAACAGTTACGGACAACCGATCTAAATAGTTACGCGATGAATATACATAATGCATCTGGTGCATTTATATAATTTTTCTCATGGTTTGGAATCGCTGTGCCAGTTCGGGAAAAACACGATATTTAAATAGAACGATTAACATAGCTGATCGACGGGCAGCTATCCGATTCACAGTGCTGTTCGCGTGTGTGTATGTGTGCGAGTACGAGCGCGCGAACGCGTTACGATTGACCATCGATCGATCTTTTATAAGCTGTTAGAGGCGTTGTCGGGCGTCTGGCGAGCCTCCAAAGGCAAATAACGGGGTCCAGAACAGCGTTCAGGGCCTCTCCGCGCCTCTCGGCCACTGGAATTACAATCACTTCGTTCTCATATTTATAACATATTCATAATTATCATGCGGGAGCCGAGGTCGATCGATGTTGCAACGGCGATATGATTACACACGATCCGATCAATCGACGGCCGACATCATGAAAGGAGGGTGTTTAGAGCTAATTACGAGATTTTGTAATGAACCCGAGTATCATTTAACTTGTTAACTTATGCACATTCTTTAATTCACTGACTTATCTCATCGGCAGTTCGTAGGAGCTAACATGGAATCGTCAACGCTCCCGTTGCATAGCAACATTTACGTAATCAGAGACATTTTATTCACGCGTATCTTATTAAATCTTGATTCAACCGTTCTTTTTTTCGCCATGATTTTCCATAACGAGGAAGAAATAGACGGTTCTTTGTTTAACCCTTTCGCTACGGCGGGCCTCGCCGCGGAGTCTCTCCCGTAGAACGGAACGCCGTGCCAAAGGTGGAAACATTACGCGCGCGTAGTCTTCAGCATTCGGGGCCAAGTCTTTTGCCTCAAAAACACCGTTGTGACACTGCTTTTAGAAGCAAAATGATTTGTATTTATAGCAATGTGTTTATAATGTTTCTATGAACGTATTTTTAATTAAATAATATAATTAATATTTTTGCACTGCATAACAAAATAGTAATTATAATCATAACATAATATTGAGGAATAACTTTTTAATAACAATATTCTGTATGAAACTTTTCAAAACACGGACATACGTAATCCAACATCGCAGTTCTCACATTGATATCGCGTTTAACTGCTTTTGTCTTTGCATATACCGCACATTTTCTTAGTGGATTTTTTCTTTTCGTTTTATTATTTACATAAATCTATGGAAAATGCCTTGCACCAAGACGCATTAGATTAATATGACCAAATTTAGTACAATTGTTCGTGGTTTTCGATAGATAGCGTTTCAAAATTTGTCGGATTAATTCGAGGTGCAATTTTGCCATCAATATGTTTTCCAATTTTCAACTTATATAAACAGTAGGCGTGACTATATATTGTACCCGATGACTATAGTCACTCGTCGTGTGTGGGTATAGTCTTGTGACCGGTAATTATAATCACCCGTAGTACCGAAAGGGTTAAACGCAAGTTTCCTGGTTCACCGAGCTGACTACACATACGCGGGTATTCGAAGAAGGATGATCGTGCAGCGAAAACATTAGCCACCCTCTGATGTTCTCAACGCTAGCATTTTTAGGATTCACCTTTTCAAACAGGTGATGGGAGTTACAGAAACGTGAGTTGAAACGTTCAAAATGAAACACGCTGCGTGGACAATGGGAAACATGATCAAGGTCAGGTCGTTCTCCAACCCTTGTTACTCGCGCGCGAACACGCTCGATAAGATCCTAAATGGGTGCTCAAATAGCGGATTCTGGATCCAGCGCTGTATCTAGATCCGGAGCGCGCGTGAGTTCCGTTCGAGTGAGTCAGAGTTGTCGTCGGCAATATATGCCTTTACAATTAACAATGAACATGCGAGTGAATTTACCAACGTTTCATTGCGAACAAACGAACACAATTCACCGCGGACTCGTGAATCACGATCTTTCCATGATATCGTGACGTGCCCTCGCTGCAATACAGCGATAAATGTGCTTATACACGTTGACCGTTATACAAAGTTTGTACTCTTTACAAAAGTATCATTCGTTTCATTTGTGATATATGTGTTACTAATGACAATTATTGATTATTAAATTTTTGACTTTTCACTAAGATTCTACTATCCAAAACTTCTGCTATCAATAGGATCTGGTATCAGAAATTTTTCTATTAGAAGTCTCTATTATTATAAGCTTACACTGTTAAATGTTTCTACTATCAAAAATTTTAATTATCACAAATTTCTATTATCACATATTTCTACTATGAAAAGTGTCTACTATAAAATGCTTCTACTATCAAAAGTTACTATTATCAAAGCCTCTACATTGTATTATTGACTATTTAGTCATACCTCTAAAAATATACGTATATTCATTAAGATTCGTTTTAGTGTGGACATTTTAAAGCGATTTGTGCATTTGATCAGTAAACTGCTGGTCATCGATAATTACCATAACGGTCAATGTGTTAAACAAGGCCCAGAATGATGAAACGTTACGCTTGGGGGATCGATCGACGGTTCTGATCCTTTTCACGCGTGGTGGAATTTTCGTAAAGGTGCATGATACAAGACTTTTCAAAATTTCATCAGCTGGCCGACCGGGTCGAACTTTGCCCAATTACTGGTGAGCGTGTTCGTATAAGCCAATACACTTTTAGCTCATCAGTATCGAGCCATAGAATAACTGGATACTCGGAGAAAGTAACGGATTAACAGCTACCAGCAGCAACACGACGGGGCACATCTTCGCGTGTCTCCGGTGAAATGCGTCAGTGAGAAATTTCACGTCGCCGTGTAAACTTCGGGTTTTTCGTTCCCGGAAAGTCCAGTAACCACCGCGGAGAGTGACGCGATGCGATCACGAGACGCCTTTCTATTTACGAACAGGGGACCGACCGATTAATAAACCTCTTGCATTGCACATTTCACGACTTTACGAAACAAGTTTTACCTTATTACAAAAATCAAACGTCTTTATTAAAGTGAAAACTTGTTTGCTGTGGAAAGTTCAGAAACTTGTATATATTAAAATAAATTTCCAAATTTCTATTTGCAAGCTTATTTATTTTTTCATTTTCAATAGTCTATGATTATGGTTTGAGTCAATACTCTTTTAATAATTTGGTTTGTGGCGTAGCAATTTTGTATTATTGAGATTCATTATTAGCTTATTAAATATAGAAGACGAATCGAATCTTGCTTATTGAGATATCATTACTTTTAGATACAAATATTCGTTATTGAGAATGTGTTTGTAATATCTCTGAACCAACCAACAGTATCAAGTACAGAATCTTTTTCAATTAATCATTAGAGAAACAACACATTCATTCCCGGACACGTTTAATCTATTAAGAAATCCGGAACGGTATTTATCAGAGAGTGACTCTTACGATTCTTCAAGTAACACTGACGATTATTTTTTATACAATTTCTCTTACATTAGTCATTCATTTTCTAAACCATTTCAAGAATTTTGAAGTATAATATCGCGAACCGAAAATTGATGAACTAATTTTCCACAAAATAAGTCTATCTTCACAACCACGCACCGATTTCTGCAAAAACGAAGCGTGATAGATTCATGTAATCTCTGAAAAGTACGAAGTTACCGATTTTCCAAATGAAAATGACTGAAACTACGTCGTATGTGCTGCGTCAGTCGCGTGCCGCAGCACACGCATGAATGAAAAAGTTTCCCCTGGCAGACCTTGCCAGTACGCCAATTACCACTGTCTTGTCGCGGGACTTTAAAAACGCGAGACGCTATCGCGTAAGAGAACACAGGGACACGTCCTTGTGACTTCTAATGCTTCAAAGGACCTGCTCGAAGGCGGAGCTCGCCGCGTGCGCTGTTCGTGAATGTGAAAAATAATATCGTGGCCTCGAGAGCGCGTCGATTAAGAGCCGGTACTGACGCGATCTATGAATTAAAACGCGGGAAGAGGCACGGTATTGACCTTTCGAGCGCGATTTCCCGACAGGTACCTTCCTCCGATAAGGATCGTTAGCGATCAAGCTATAATTACGCGCTATTCATTACGATTTATCGATGCGCCGCTGATGTCTCGCACGTTTCATCCCAAGACCCGATAACTGACGTTGATCCGACAACTACGAAACTTCCGTGCAACTTTTAAAGACAACGTGTATTATCGACCATCTACGGCGCGCTACACAAATAGTTTTTCGTTTACAGTACTTTTCTGTACGCGCGACAGAAAAACAACAATAATTTTTATAATATAAAATGTGTGTATACCGGTGACATCAATTTTTCTAATCTAAATAATATCAATAAAAAGCAAATGTAAATTTTTATAACGGAACAATAAATTTTTATAGCGTCGATAAGAAGCAAATGTAAAGCTCGTTAAATTCAAAATAAGAAACTCGATTTGCATCGAATGAAATAAATTAATATAATAAATATAAATTGACTGTAGAAGGTGATTGGCGACGCACTTGCTTCTCTCGTCACAGAATTTTCCGTGAAGCGTGAGAGAGAACCGAAGTTGTCGCGGAAGTCCGGAGCACCTTCATCACGAGAAGCGAGAGGCCTGTCTGTTCGTTTTTTTCGAAGACGTTCACGTGGTCGGACTACAATACGAATCGCTTTTAACGGCAAGGTCATTAATATTGCGCAACCACGATAATAACTGATCGCGTGTGTACTTTCTCTATACCCGGTCGCTTCTTCATTTCCAGCCTGAGAATTTCACCGGTGCCGCTGCGCGTCTGTGTACGTCCATGCATCCATACACGCTTACGCCGGTGTGTACGGTGTCATTCTCTTTTTTCGCCTGTTACGAAATACACCGGAGGTTTATCACGAAAGTCACGTAGGCAAACGGGATGGAGAATTCTTCCGTGTAAGAAAGTTCCGATGCTGGTCTCCGGATGAATCTCAAGGGAATCTACTTTTGCGGTTTTATGAACAGGAAACTGCCTTAGTCGAGCATACAGAGCATCAATATCATTTACAAACGTGAGCAAGCATTTCGGAACACTTATCAAACTTGTTTCACGTTTCTTTACAATATAATTGATTTATATATAGTCGAAGGATCACACGTCGAAGACTCTCCAGCGATTAATAACAACCGGGGAAAGCGAAGCGTAATTAGACGCTGCGAAAGAGTACCAGCAATTACAACGTAACGCGTCGGAATCGCAGCGATTCAAACTCGCGGCGAACTTCCCGCGCTTTCTCGCGTTTCATCCGATCCCCGAGTTTAACCGATGACCTCACCTCTAGCCCCAGCAATTACCCACGAAATTACGTTCGCGAAAGAGCCGTTCAACAGGTAGCCTGAAACTCTCGAGCACGATGCTATGGA